CTCTTCTTTCATGTCTTGTTCCGCGTTATTTGTAGGGGCCTAGTTAACTAGCTCGCCAGTTTTCTAGCCGGTCCCAAGCCCGGGTAAAGAGTGAGGGTTGGGCGTGGGGTTAGAAACCCCACACCACTAAATCTTTCAAACCGCTAGAGAAACTTCAACTCACAGAAAATATATTAAAAATATGAAAGTGTGTTTCACCACACTATTACTCAAAACACTATGGTGAATGAGAAGCAGTAGTGGATCAATTCTGTCCACACTGATGAAGGAGAGCTTAGAGTGCTCTAGCATAATGTAACTCATGTTGTTAACGTGACTAAAACTTAAGACTAAAACAAACCACCATCAAAATCATTCAGTTTTTCACAAACATCAATATTGGATTGAAATTTGTACCTTTTTGTAAGTAATTTGAATAGGCATTGAAAACAAACTCAGTGAACTGTTTCATAGCGAGTCTTGAAAACAACATCCTTGATCCCTTGATAAGTCAACTGCACTTATATAAGAGATATGTAGATGATACGTTTATAATCTGTGATGAAAAATGTGACTTAGATTCTCTCCTGAAAACCTTCAACGCAGCTCATCAATCAATAAGATTCACCTTAGAACGCGAAACGAACAACGCATTTCCATTCCTCGATGTATTACTCACCAGAAGAGACGACTGTACGATCCAAATATCGATATACCGTAAGCCAACATGGACTGGACAGTTTATCAACTTCCAGAGCTTTGTTCCACTGACCCGAAAGAGAAACTTGGTACGTACATTGTGCTCAAGGATTAGAAAAATCTGCTCGGAAGACACGGTGGAGAAAGAATTAAATTTATTGCGTGAAACCCTACTAGAGAATGGGTATCCACCAAGATTCATCGACAAAAAACATGAAGGAGAAGCCCCCGGTGCCAAATATCACAACGGTTCCTAAGAAGACTCTCTTCATGAACCTAGAACTCATAGGTGACATCGCAGCGGAAATTCTCAGAAACCGCCTTTCAAAAAGTCTGAAGAAGACATTCCCAACAGCCACTCTACGTATAACATTCTCCTTCAGACAGTTAATCCAGTCTAACATTAAGGACAAGATACCGCCTTTGGCCACTTCAATGTGTATTTATCAACTCACTTGCTCGTGTGGAGCAAAGTATATCGGCCGTAGGCAACGTCAAGTCCACAAACGTATCCTGGAACACTGCCCAGCTTGGTTAGCCAGAGGAGAAAAGAATAGCAACAGCTCAATCCTCGAACACCTTGTTATCTCCGGACATCGAGCACCCCCACACGAATGCTTCACAGTGGTACACAGAGTCCCTCAATATCGTACAAAAGGACTCCGGATACGACATCTGTACATAGCTGAGGCATTAGCTATTCGTGACATAAAACCGGACCTATGCATACAAAAACGATACATACATTCTCTAGCCCTACCATGGCCAGAGTAAACTTCTTACTATAATTTTTCTTACTTTAAGTCAAGTGGAACAATAATGTCATATATAAGATATTGCATCAGGTGTATAGATTTTGGGGAGAGGCATAATCTTATAATTATATGCCTCTCCCCAAAATCTATAATTTTTCCCCTCTCTTTTAATATGTAAGTTCACTATTATTATTATTATTATTACTGTTCTTAATACTTTTATTATTATTACTATTCCCACCATCCATATTTTATTACTACTCTATGACTGTTTATTAATAACATTGCTTTTTCACACAGATCTTATACAAAACTACTGTATAACCTTTCCACTAGTTCCCGTCCACTCTACACTAGCTTATTGATTAGTCATTATCTCACACTTATTAGGCCATGTCAACTTCTGTCTCCTTTCTAACTTACAATTAGTCATCCCTTCTTACACCTCACACTATGTTGTAGAATTTTCAAGGACAAAGTTTACAAGTATCTGATTGGTCAAAAAATCTTCTGTGTTTAATTATAATTACGATTGTACAGCTCATGAAAATGAATCGTCGAAAAGAAAATTTTCTTCGCTGTTTGTGCCTTTTCTTATGACTCAATTTGGGAATATTTCGTTCAAGTAAATAAATATAAAACACTAATTCCAACAAAATACCTTTTGAATTGTTTATTATGCGATTAAAATTAAATGTTGTCAATAAATTAAAATATTTTGCGCAGTGTATCGAAATGTTGTACAATCAAATTTCGATTCACTGCATATCATTTTTTTGCTTTATTTGTGTTTTAGAAGTGGAAAAAGCACTCAAACAAAGTGGTTTTTTCATATGAGGTTTTGTAGTAATTTTCGGGCTTGTTAGAAAGCTGTAAATATGACATATATATGGATATGTTGTGTGATTACCGTTTATGAGGTGATTCTAAGCTCAGCTAGCATTGACGTGAAATAATTAACGAGTTACAAATCTTTTAAAGCGAAAATACTCAACCTACGACCAAAAAAAACAAAGGACTTTGTTACCAGTTATATAGAGAATCTACTTCCATACACAAACAAACACTCTTTACAGAGGATAGAGATGCCAGGTGTTTGTAGGTATGATGAAGAGTCACATTGTCAGCTGTTGCTTCTATATGGTCCAAACACTTGATGGGCGTGTCACTAGACAAGCATCTCGAATAGGCTTCAGACTTTCATTAACAGCTGCATTTGCTGTATACTGTGAAAAAGAGATGACCAACCAGAAACGATTATCAACAAAGAACTGATCGCCTAGCAAATATGCTGCCGTAAAATGGAGATGGACAACACACTCTGAGGAGACCGTTAAGCGACATCGCCCACCGGCCTTCCCGAGTGCAACTCGAATGGGGAACGACGAGTTAGGCGCCTTAGAATGACATGGAGGGGATCATATGAGGAGGAGATCAGAACCTATGAGCACTCGTGGGGCTGGCTAAGGAAGACTGCAGAGAGCAGGATGAAATGCAGATGTGTTGTTGAAGATCTATTTTCCACTTAAAAAACAAATGAGAATTATTATAATAGGAATACTGGCTTCAATAGGACTCATCAATCATAGTAATATGTTTAGTTTTTCAACTCAGTTACAGCTATTTCTCTGATAATCTCTATAAGTTTCAGTTTTGTAATCTGCCTTTCGTAATATCAATATGAATGATATAGTGAAGTCTTTGGGCCATCACATCCCATCATGGCACTTACTGCATAGATGAAATTCTTGCGGATTATTTTGCAGTTAGCCTACAGGTGTTCACTTTTTACAACTGTGAAGTCTACTTCGTTTAACTAAAATGGATGAAGCGTCAAGTAGATAAGGAGCTTAAATGAAGCCAATAAAATTGCAATGGTTTCAGTAAAATCTTATCCCGTAAAACTGTTTAACTGATGAATTTGTTGATAATTTTGTATAAAAATTGCATGCACTGTTGACGTGCATTTCAACTACAAGTCCAATATTTTAAACACAAAGCTCTATTGCAAAGCTTCCTTTGAATATCTTCATGACCAACTTCAAAGTGAATCAGACTTTGGGGGGTTTCATGGATGAATTGAACTGTATTCTTTATAGCTGGCTATTTCCAGAGATTTTCGTATAGCTATGTGGGTAGTGACTGTTTCATTAGCCTTACATTTAAAAGATTAGTTAATGTTGTACATAGGATTTTCTTTGTTCACTAATCATTCTTATATTTTTTCACCCTGTCAGTCTTTTTCCTTGTTGATTACTAAATTTAGTCTACATAGATGTATCTGTGAATTGTAGAATAATGTAAGAACAAGGCAGTCAAAGATTCTATGATATACTTCGGATTTTCCTTCTTTAACACGTCTACAACTTTACTCCACACCGTATTTTTGGTACAGGTGTGGAATTTTCAGCATGTGATATCGGTAGCCCAAATTTTGCAGGCAGACCATAGACATCAGGTATGCACCAGCAGGGGATCGAAGTCCGGACTATTTGTAAGGTCGGCGAGAGTCCTAACCACTGTGCCATCGATGCGCAAGATTGTGCCTCCCCACGGAAATCTTTAGTAAAAGGCGAAATATCTATCCGCAAATGAGGAGACACTGGAGTTATAGACAAACTCGTCTCAGTATTTGTCCAGGCTTATTGATTTGAAGGAATCTATGCAGTACACTTCAAGTGATAATTTGCACTAGTGTGTTCTTCTTGGTGTTTTCACAATGAATTTTAAGTCAAAATATTGTCTAAGGCTTAAATCAAACAATTAGATGTAACAGAACAGAGTTGCTAAGACAAATGAAATACGGTTTGTTCGATACGCTGATGTCACATTAAACACTTCATTTAATTACGCTAGAAAATTATCAATCATTGACTAAGATGCACTCTGTTTTTTAGTGTCCCATGCTTGGACTGCTTCAGTATAATATTTATTCAGCTTTTAATAGGGCCGCAGTATTTCTGAAAACGCCTACCTTACAAAATTGCATCGAATGAGCCCCATATTCTACAATTCATAATGATGTCTGGTGGCATATCCTTTGTAACTCATGAAGTGATGAACAGTGTCAAGAAGTATGACACAAAGTTGTCGTCATCTCACCTTCTACTGAAAGCTTACAGCTATCAACTGACTCTTTACATGGGATCATTTGTATCAGTAGTTTCTGGTTACACCATCTCTACTGCTAATGCAACTGAACAAATCCAACGGATGATAAGTCGGTCATCCCATGCATACGATATCCGTTAAGTGTGTAATCGGTATTTTCTTACGTAGATATGTTCTTATCTCGAAGCCTCAGATTTTTCAACTCGGTGAACATAAAACAATAAGCTGTAATGGCGAAATAGAGAAAACGAGGCTATTAAATAACCTATTTCATTTAGGACTTCAGTTAACCTGCATTAAACTCTAACTAAACCTGAACAGGTACATTTAACAATGTAACTTGGTTGGTAACCAAAATGAGGCAAAGGATGGTATTCAGTGAATATAACAAACAAAAAATACTGTTATTTTTCATTTTGTTACAAAGTACAGAATAATACTAAAACGTCGAAAATTTATTGTTTAAATTTATACTACTTATATTTTGTATATTAAATAGACAAGTATAATTAATTAAATTAAAGTTTACTCTAGAAAAAGTACACAGAGAATATTAATACTGTTCACTGATCAGAAATATTTGAATCATGTTTAGACGTAGGACATTGATCACAGCTCCAGGTCTAGTAACAGTTCATTCAGGCTGTTGTTTATTTGAGCAACTACTTTTCTCATAACATGTATATAAACCAGTTTTGTTTGGTTGACTTGTTCTGGTATATTGAAATTCAATGGATATAATATACATGGAAGAGTCGAATGCAATTGCTGCCATTTAATACATTTTCTACAGGCTGACTCAATTTTTGATACATCAGTTTCATTATCTATCTGAAGTGGAACTGTTGAATGATTGTTTCCTAAATACAGATCTGATAATAATGGGTCAACTAAATGGTCAATATGGTGTTTGTCAGATAAATTATCGCTGTTATCATCTTCGTCATTGTTTTCATAGTGATGTGATTGGTTTTCATGTTGATGGTTATCATGGTGATGGTGATGATGATTGTCATTATGAGTTGATGTTGATACAGTTGTCATATTTGGGGATGATTCAATTGACTGTTTATTGACTGTGACGTTTACAGACGGTGATTCACTTTCGTACTCAGGTGTACTGTTATCATCTACGTAAATAAATAAATAAATACCGCAAGAATAAATGAACTGTAACAAACAGGTTAACCTAATTTACTCTTTATAGGTGATCTTCCTTACAAACAACAAGTCTCTCAATATTATTGAAATCGGATAGACTTCCAGCTATTTCATACTGTACATTTCAGTTTCATTCCGAATCTTTAGGATAATTTTGGTTATGTGACGTGTGTGCTGAGTTCGAGTCTAAAGACACACAGTATGATTCCCTGAAAATACATATACATGCAGATGACGAGTCCTGAATAAGATTAAGAGTACTCCATGGATTTCAGTGCTAGCCATCATCAACTGAATAACTGAAGTTATGCTTCATATAAGCCAGGTGGTGTGCATTCATGCACCAAGAACATCATTTGATCGTTATTTTGTGATTAATTTTTTGTCCGCTAAACCATCACTTTTTTAGCTAAAGTACATTATGCTCAGTAAAGCTAAGCAGTAAGATAACTCATTACTATCATTCTCCAAACTTTTACAGTAACCTGAGAGAAAACGAAGTCGCTGTATAACAGTGAAAAAGTATAAATCCATAGCAGAGGAAAGCTAATAGTAAACAGTTAATCAAATCATTGATTTCTGGCTCAAGGCAGACGACGTTGACTTTTCGGCTGCAATTTACAAAACGCTTTTAGAATAAACATCTCAAAGCTTCAGATGATAACGTTGGGAGATTACATGAAGCGAACACATTTGCACCTTAGCCCTACGATCCAAAATCAAGCACTACATTCACTTTATGCACTGCCTTCCTTTGCTTCTTAGTACAAGTCTACAACATTCGATTCCATTTTTCTTAATTATCTGTCTTTTAGTGTATAGATCATAGGTAGGCATGAGGCTTGAAATTTTAAAGAATTATACACATCTTACATATTAATACCAAATGATATGCTCTATACCTATATCTGCTTTTTCTTGTTCTTGTTGGTAGAGCAGTAAATACTTTTCCATACAGTATGAATCCTATATGTCAATGAATTCAGTGTAGACATCTTTTAAAAGAAATCAACTCATAGTAACGCATGATGTCCAGTAAAACATAATTATCCAGATATCAAAAGTAACGTTAAAAGCTTTACTGGTATACCAACTGTTGATAATATTCTTCAGCAGTTTTGTCAAAGATTTGAAGTTTAAAATTTGATAACATGTACGCGACGTCAAACGCTGAAAATATGCTCAATTCATTTAACTTATTATATACTATATACATTTTCCCGGACGTTTACCTTTGACACTTAGCTGTAATCCTTACTTAAAATGAGTTGGTTAAGCTTAATTACTTAAGCTTCTGCGTCTACAGTGTGAGCAACTTCGCAAGACAGGTAATCTCCTTCCTTCTCCAACATTAAATGAGTGCGATATAGTGAATACCCTGACGTGATTAAAATAAAAATCAAGTTGTGAACAGCCCTTTGTGTGAAGTAAATTTAGCAGAAGAAGCTTCTGTCGACAGTGCAGTCACTAAGCTTACTGATTTTAAATCCGAAACTACAATGTTTAGGTCAATATGTTCAAGCGAGCATTCGATCTCATTTCTCTTCTGAGAAAATGAAATAGATTCGTATAAAACTTCTAGTTATGTCACAGGGACAAAAGGTACATCTCCCTCTTAGTTTTTTCCATGGAAAATATGACCAAAAAATTATCTTACCACTTATTTGTGGATAGTCATCAAGAAGTCTATCTGTCACAGAGGCTTCATCTTCTTCACTTTCACCAGAACTTCCCCAACTGACCAGGCCGTCATGATGATGGTCTGTAATGAAGTACAGTGGTTCATAAATTGGATGTTATATTAAAGTATATTAATGACATTTTTAAGGTTATGTTAGTGTCAGATATAAGTGAAAAGTAGTTGAAACTCAGTCCTGTGAGTGTTAATATTCTTTTGTAAATGACTATCAGTACGAAAATCAAAAAGTGAGTTGACAAGCGGTACGAATTACAAATAAGTTGTTGCATGAATTCGCTGTGTATACTCGAACCAAATTCGCTAATTTAATCCTCTAGCCTACTTATGAAGCTGGTGGCCTTTCATAAAGTTAGAAGAAATAGATCATCTCATCTGTTTCTTGTGAGCAACAGCTTTACTATTAGATTCAATTAAACGGATATCTTTTCGCCACAACTTATCTCGATTAATACTTACAAAATCCTACCAGACACGTACAACACATATTCTAGGCATGCAAAACATTTCTGACTCCATTTCTGAAGACCACAAAACAGCCGTATATTCCGGTAGTAAAACGTAGTTTGTAAATGTATTCTGAAGGAACTAAAGAGGTAAGTTTAAACTGTCTGTAATCCTATAGGATCTTGAGCTTGTAGAATATTTTAATCTGTCTAGCAAATTATCACTTATCTCCAACTTTATTATAATTACTATCACTCCTTTGATTTTCGAAGGGAACATAGGGCTTCAGCAGCGCATCTCCATTTCATCCTGTTCACTACTGCCCTCATCAACTGGCTCGATGGCTTCTCATAAGCTTTTGTCTCCTGCGAACACCATCCCCGCCACATCATGTCTTAGGATGCCCAAATTGTCGTTTTTAGCTTCGGTGCCACTCGGCGGCTTAAAACACGATGTCACTCAACTGTCTTCTAAGGGTGTGCCCGATCCATCACCATCCTCTTCTCTATATTTGCTGGGCCACAGGCTCTCGGTTGGTCCGTTAACAGAGTTCCAATTAGCTATCCCTTCCTGGCCGGCCATCTGTCATTCAGTATGGAGCTCGTGAAGGCAGTTGTTGATAAAGGTCTGAGGCCTGTTCGAGATGTTTTCGGGGACACGTCAAGTCTCTGAGCCACTAAGAAGAATTGATTGACTTGATACTATAATTTTCCAAATCCGAAACTTGTTCTTTCTGCTTAACACAATAGATTTCAAAACTGATTTCAGCTTACTGATGATCTGGCTTGCCAATCTGATCTTGGCTGGCTTCGACATCTCCATCCATGCCACCTGTATTTGAAAAGATGATGCATAATTAAATTGAAAAGGTGATGTTAAGATTTCCTCCGTTGACAGTGATTGCTGTTTATTGTAGTTGGTTAATTACCTTCATCATCTCTGTCTTCTCTACATTCGTTTGAATACAAACCATCTATTCACGGATATATTCCATTTCGCTCATTGCGAATCAGACACCATACTGTTTTGTTGAATGAGAAAAGTGGAGGAAAAAATGTGTGCCCTTCTGATGTCTGTGTCACATAACATTGGGAATAATGATAATCAATGTAGACACTGAAAGGTTTAATTACCACACTGCTTATTCATTTCTATGCAAGCGTGGAGTAGCCTTAATTTTTGATGAAGCTGACAGATCAAACCTGTCTGCTCTATATTTGAGTGGCATTATACCAATAGAATATTGACATATTATGGAGAAGTTGTTTATAAAACGCTTAACAGAGTTATTATCAGCTATATGGCAAAAGAGTCTGAAAATTCAACAACAACAGCAATGTGAAGTCCACTGAACCAGAAATCTTATACATAAAAAGACTTTGGTGTTGATGAATTTTTTATATCACCAAAGCATTCCTCCATTTTACAAGCATAAAGTGCGATTTTAAATGTCTAACGGTGGAATAAAATGTCAACTCCAAACTCATGTCCACTACAAATGTTCCACAACACATTTTCTAAAAATAATTCAAAAGACAAGGAGCGATAATCTCCCGAAACATTTTCATCTCACTACAAAAGCTATAATTCCAATCGGTCTGAATGTGTTTCAGTAATAATAGCCCTACAACCATATCAACAGTAAATATTTATGGAGTTACTGGTTGCTTTACTAAGTTACATAGATCCACGTAAGTTGTGTGGGTAAAGTATTACGGTAAAACTGTACTTTCCATGATATAACTCGGTCTGTCAAAGTGTTAGTGCACTTCTGTTCTCTTCTGTGCCTTTCACTATCTAAAGCGTATGGGATTGATGATAAAATCACCAGGAGAAAGAGACAGTGACGTTAAAGGGTTAAATCCTGCTAAGAACTGCTATTTAGTAAAGCTACAGAATATTTTTTCAAATCACAATGCAAATATGCACCGGTTGCAGTAATGTGGTGGGATAGACTTCTTAACCACAAACAAGAGAGATCTTCACTGTGGCGGGATAAGCTAGTATATTAACTAGTTGCTATTTTGACTGAATTCTTAACTCTCAGTTATATACATCACAATTGAATGAATTGTTACCGTTAAAAAATAAAAGTTCCTTGGAGTAAATGAGTTTTCATTTGATCTAAACAGTGAGTAGCTGATAACAGTATTTATTCTCTCCAGTATTCCTTCATAAATTTTCTGAGAACTCCTTTTCATAGGACTTATTCTGTCCATGACTGTAGCGAATAAGGCCATAAACACGATTGAACCAATTGTTACAAACCCTTAGGTTAATCTTGTCCACGCGAGAGTTAAATCTATCCACAATTCATATTCTTTCTCCTTCCCCTCAGGATGATTGCATTACTTTCATTTATAACGAGGCTGAAAGTTCACTGTGAACTCACTAAGACCAGAGAAAATTTTGATAGGAGAATGGAGATATAACTTTTAACAAATTGTTCGATTATTATTATTTCCTTTAATTCCTAGAGGAACATAGGGCTTCAGCTGCGCGTCTCCATTGCGTTCGGTTTTCTGCCAACTTTTTCACCCCGCTCCACGTCTGCCCACTTGCTTTCATCTCCTCTTCACATGACCTCCTCCAAGTCACCCTTGGATGATCAACTGGCCGCTTCCCGTTTGGAGTTCACTAGAGGGCTTATCTAGTGATGTCACTTGATGGTTTCCTCAGAGTATGGCCAGCCAATCCATCTCCATTTCTTCCTGCCTATTTGTTTCACAATCGGTTCCTGCTGTGTTGGTTCACTCCCAGAGGCGCCTCCCTGTGGCTGATCTTTTCTGACTATCTTATCTTGAGTACTGAGCAAAGACAACTGTTAATGAAGGTTTGTAGTTGTTCGAGGTGCTCATTATGACGCGCCAAGTCTCTTATCCCTACAGTAAGTAGCACTGACTTTACACTGAAGTTGAAAATCCGGATCTTGCTTTTCATACTGAATGCTGTTGACTTCCACACTGACTTAAGAGTAATGAAAGCCTGTCTTACGTTTCCGATTCTTGCTTTGATATCTTCGTCATTTTCGTCCACCTGTAGTAGAAACGACGCTTCCCAGGTTGGTAAAGGAGGTTGCTTCTTTGAGGTTCCTCCTATTTATGCTGATTGTTGTCTGTTGTTGCTGTTGGTGTTGGCCAGGAACCTTCATCACCTCTGTTTTTTCTATGTTCACCTGAAGGCCTGTCTTCTCTGGATGCTTCTTCTGCCAACTTGTAGCTTTTCACTTGCATATCTTCCAGTTTGTGGGAAATCAGACATATATCATCGATGAAGTCCAGATCCTCCAAGTTTTTTGTGCGAGTCCATCTTATGCCTGTTTCCTCGCCGCCCATTGTCTCTCACATTATCCAGTCTACTGCAATCAGGAAGATCATTGGCGATAAAAGGCAGTCCTGCCTCACTCCCGTTCTCACTTCGAAGGCTTCCGTAAGTTTCCCGTTGTGGATTACTTGGCATGCAGCATTGTCGTACAAATGTTGGATGATATGTATAATTGTCGGCGGTACCCCAGAGTAGTGACATAGTTGCCAGATAACCTTTCGATCGACGCTGTCGAAGGCCTTTTCAAAGTCGATGAAATTGGGATAGTTATCGTAAAAGAGACAATCCAAATCAAACTAAAAGCTTTCAGAGAAACAGGAGCTGCAGATAGGCCACAAACCAAGTTCAACACTCAAAAACTGAAGGACCAGGATTTAAAGGACGTCTTCACTGCAAGCATAAAGGACAAAGCCGAGACACAAATCAACACTAGCGATGAGGTCGGCGTCGAAAAGCACTGGGACAACTTGAAAACGGTGTGGAGTCAAACATGCATGGAAGTTCTAGGCAGAAAGAAGAGGTAGGACAAACAGTGGCTCACTGCGGATACATGGAAACTAATAGAAGAGAGAAGGATGATGGGACAAAGGATTATCCAGTGCACTGACGAGCAACAAAAACAGGATTTGAATGCAAATTACAATGCGCTGAACAAAAGAGTAAAGACGAGTGCCAGGGAAGACAAAAGAAGATATTATGAAGCCATGGCAAGTGAAGCATTGGGACTACCTGAAAGAGGTGTGGAGTTAAACCTGCATATTCGATTATGTAGGCATGTAAATTACCAAGCCTCTTAGCAGATTGTGTTATTCAAAGCTTCACTAAGTGCATCGGTGGCATAGCGGTTAGGACGCTCGCCAACCATGTACATGGTCCGGGGTTCGATCCTTTACCTTGCTAAGCCAGAAATAATGCTGGTAAAGAAGAAAGGTTGGACATGAGGCTAACAACCCCATCCAGTAAAAATAAACACTACTGCTACAGAAACTTTAAGCCACTAGCTTGAAGCCTTATGTTCCACTGGGGAACGCGGAGGAAAAAAAACAAAGCTTCACTAAAGATGTCTGACATTGCAAGAGAACTTTCATTTGTTAATTTGAATGATCCGACTAACTAGTAGGAAGTATTTTCTCTTTTGTACATTCAAATGCTTGCAGTGGACACATTTTACTGGCACAACTTTTCGAGAAATTTCTATATGAATAATGCAACAAAATGAGCGTTTTCTCAAGCTTGAAAATATATTCTGATACATGAGTATCAGAAGTTATATTACGTATTTTGAAATTTGTTTTTCTACTGGTAAGCTTCTGAAGTCCAAATGTTGATGCTGTACAGCTAAGTGTTCATATTTAACAGTTACATCGTTATGCATTCACTGACAGCTCGGTGGTGCGGCAGGAATACAAAATTAGACGAGAGTGACAGTTATGTATGGGTTCAATTGAAAAATATTATCAGGATAAGCCCATATTGTGTTATTGGTTGTAATTTTGATCATTACGAAAGCTTACACTAGTGTAAAAGGATTTTTAACTCACTTTCTGCATCTTCGTCGACTTTATTTTTCTCTGAATCCGGTTCTTCACTCTCAAATGCCTCTGTTTCACTATCTGTAATTTTTTCTTCTTCGTTTTCTTCGCCATCAGAAGTTCCTATGATAGTGAGTTTGTCTTGGTCTTGTTCACTCCCTTGTGTAGTTGTTACAAAATCCACTTGATAAGGATTCCCTTCACCCCATCTAGCTAGACCCTGATGGTTATGAAGTTCACCTGAGAAATCGGAAAATTGAGTGAAATATGTGGTTAGTCAGAGACCACCTGGAAAAACCCCTTTTACACTAAGGTTAGGTTATACACTGAGCAATGTACAAGGTTATTTGCATTTAAACCCGTCACGATTTCTTACGTTAGCTTCCATCATATAACTTAAACAATAACTTACATTTTGGTTTATCTTGATTACTACTGTATATGCAGACAGTGTTTACCTGGAGTTGTTTACTTCACATAGTTAATAATACCTTTCCAGGACGGTATCTGATACTTCAAATCTTTGTAATTATTAAAATGAGATTATCTTATTAAAAGATTTACATTGTGAGAAACTTCTGTGTACCTCCACACTTGTTCTACTTCACAGTTTTAATTTTTGCCAACATCTATTCACAAATGAATGGAACGCACTACGAAGTAAAACAAACTGATCACTTTATTCTGTCGTAATATAGGATACTTATCCATAATAAATTAGTGGTATGCAGGCCTGAGGTCACTATTAAATGCATACTGTGATTTAGACGTGACAGAATACTTCCTGTCACTACAAGGGAAACTTTTTGAAATAGTGGATTCATGTGCAGAAGACAATCTTAGCTGTTACCTGAAACTGCTGGATCAAATAAAAGATTATAAACTGTCTTTGAAGTTAAGAAGGAAAATCTAAACAATTTAGTAGGATATAATTCTGCATTAGAAAGGCATATTTAGCAAAGTAGATAGTGATACAGAACTGCTAACTGGATGACTTCTCAACCACAATTTAAAGATATTATTCCCAACTGTCAGGGGTTTGACCACCGAATGACGCACTCTGAAACCTGACTTAGCCGATAGTAAGCTTGATAAATAGGAGAGGCCGGGAGAGAGCGTCTTGTAAAAATCAGCGCTGCTGAAATTTCATATCTTAAGCTTGAAGTTCTATATGTCGCTTGGAATAATTAATAATAAATATAATGCTAATTTGAGTGCATCATCAGTAGTCAAACGCGTCTATAGCTAAAATCAAGAGGTACTGAAATCCACATCCAATAGTGATGACACACATCAATCATATTACCATCATTCTATAATCCATAGCTGTCAAAGGTCGTCCCGTCAACCTCTGGCAACCTATCCCAGCATTTTTATGGAGTATGATTACGAGTTTTACATCTGGTTACCAGATGACTGTGATGCTGTTCAACAGATTACTAGATGCCAATCATTCAAACGACATCTGAAAGCAAACTGCAGCAACTTTACCAAAATGAAGATTTCGTTATAGTTTGAGTCTTATTAGGCAGAAGACGAAGTTGACAAGCAAGAGATGGTTGATACGTTGTAGTCAGTTAATTTAAAATGCAACGCTCAAAGCAACTGAAACTATTTAACAGATTACAGTTGGGCTGCCTAACATGAAACGCCTACCATAAACGAAGAAAGCCTAATCTATTAAATAATTTGTTTTGCCTATTAACAGCTACAGCTGAGTTCAAAACACTCATTTTATTCCACTTGGGACTAGTGTACTAGAAATGACTATAAACCGACAAACAATTGAATTCCCACTGAGATACTTTTAAGTACCCAGTAAAGTAAAACAAATGGAGGAACTAAAAGGGACACTGGATAGTTCATTCTACAACTGTGCATGCCAAAAAATTAGTTTACCAAGTTAAGAAACGGTAAACCATAGAACAGCTGACCTTTCGTATCATTTTGTTGTAAAGTTACATATTCGTCCTCCTTATTAAATAAACCCTCATCATCTTCACTTTCGTCACCACGAACATCATTCTCATTTTCATACAGCTCAGAAGAGTCACTCTGTTTATATCCTATAACAGAAGAGCAAAATTTAATTCTAAAATCATAAAAGAATATTACATTTCAGTTATCTAACAAAATGCATTACGAGTTTACAAAAGCGTGAATGCCTTTTAAATAGTTCCACTTAACAATCACATTGAAATGATGACGAAGCAGTCTCAGATCCCACACGTTTCAAGCCATCATTCTTTTCTCTGGGGGGGGGGATATTTCTTACAACGCTTTTGGTAAAACCATGCGTAGCACACTAACTTTGGACTCTACATACTATTTCGTAAAAACAGTAGTTACTACAGCACACAACAAAATTATCACTGGCCTGTATGAATGTTTCGCAGTCTAATAATTGATATAAAATGACTTTAAAGCTGACAGTATTTCGAATATCCCAAAGAGTGAATAATTTTCGTAAATATACAAGGCGTTATAAATAAGCATATTGATGACCTCTTGAAAACCAAAGTTTCAAATCATTTCATGCCTTAGTGTATATGAGTAATGAAATTTTTCAAACTCCTAAATGTAAAATTTGATGAAGACTAGTTATGAAGATAACAATGTGTACTCTGCAGTGGCCAAGAGAGTCTTAAAAGAGGTCAGTCAAAGCTCAAATAGCTCACTAGTAGATTCTCTGGCTACAGCACTAGGTGACTCAGCTTTGAATCTCAAGTTGGACATTTCTTCCTCCTGGATGGAAGATAAAACTTACTGATAAGTGCCAATAAAGAATATTGCTTTCAATGCATTCTCTTTAGGTTCTCACAATTATAAAATATAATATTTATCGTTAAAATAATAACCAGTTATGAAGCGGATACATTTTTACGTAGAATAAAAGATTAGTAGTTAAAGGGTTACAAAAGAAATAGTTTTTTTGAGACAAACGTGCTGCACTGAATGTGATCACCAAATATTGAGAAATCTGAGTTAGTGATGATGATTGGTTATAATAGATTCAAACAGTGTGGGGAAAAAAGGTTAGTGAGTCAGTCCAAGATTGTAAAAAATGTTGGGCGACTGGCTGGTGCAAAAGAGAAGACAGAGAAAATGAAGCGAATATTTCATTATGAAATAATCAATATGTGAAATGAAATTGGTAGTTATATATTGAGAAAGGAGACAATATTACTAATACCAAGTCCGGATAGTATAAATGGAAAATTCGGTATTATTGAAAGACTACTAGAATAAAGGATATAAATTATAGAGCCTTGTAGCCAAAAGTGTTAGGACGAAGATTAAATAAAGTGAAAATAATAAACAGAGCAAAAGAAAATCCTTCTCTATATTATACCGGGTGCCAAATAAATTACCAAAAACATCGAAGCACCGCAGGCTCCAAACAGCAGAGGCTATTGCGATTCGCCTCAAACAACCAGCACTCTGTGTCCAAAAGAAGCAAGTCCAACCCCTACTTTTGCCCTGACCTTCAGTAGAAGTTATAAACTAATGAATTTTACTATTATCTTTCTTAATGTTTCTGACATTCAGCTTATTCTATGTTGATGCGATTCAGGTGTAATTTATCAATATTATTGATTTGATGTTATTTAAACATTGATGTCGTTTATAACGCTAACTCATTCATTCACTATAATGTATCTATAAATGTAGAGCCTGATGAGGAATCTATCGAAAAGAGTACTCTTTGTTCAGTAAACATTCTTTTGAAAAGGGAGAGAGCCAAGAGGACAAGGCACTCTTGGAAAACAGAAGGAATTTTGTCACCCTACAACTAAATACGTCATTCTAGGTAAAAATATTTCTGCTACATAATTGGCTACTACTGTAACAAAAAATATATTTTATAATTGTATAAGTCTGAAGAGAATTTATTCAAAAGAACTTTCTTCGTCCAAATTAACTTTTAAGTACTAATAAGCGAAAATATAATATCAACCCTATTCCATAATGGTAAGGCAAGCTTATACTACTAAACAACAGTTTGATTTACACAAGCTCTAACAATATAAATCAGCAGAATACACTAATGTAATAATGTTAGGGATGCCTAATTTTTCGAATCACTTATTCCTATGTAATTTTGATTACAAACACTCGAAACTGTAAAATTTATTGTGAAAAGCCTTTAAACACATTTTGATTCTAATAAGTATTACTGATGTGATTCCATCGGATGAAGATAAAGTTACAAGATTTAAAGTTATATAATTACTGATGAACTGTAAAAGAACCACCATGAAAACAGACCATAAAGAGCAAAGAATTCAGTACGTAAGTCAATTAATATTCTTCAGAAGGTTACTGCCTATATCCAGTTCAATCATTTCAGTGCCAAACACTGGAAACTCATTTATCATATAGTTAGAAAGCGATGACAATAATAATAATAATAAGTATATAACAGGATTATTTTAAATCATTATGTCTGAAAAAATTTTGATTCTATTGAAATACTTAATTCGCTTTTAGATTTTTCCGTCGACTGATTGGACTGAAGTGCTCGGTCTCAGGTTGACATGTCGGCGTCTTGTGCAGATGCTTCGACGATGTCTAGGCATGTATTTAGAAGTTATTATTGTTTGATCATAAATTATTACTTCAGAGACTAATGATGCAAACAAACTCTGTCATTCCCACCACCTTGGTTTTCATCTTACGTTCATTTATGATCACTCATTAGATTAATGAGAATAACACCTTCTTCATTCTATTCAGTTATTCATTTGATAAACTTACACAGAGTCTATTTCTGTCTCTATGTCTAATGCCTTGAAGATTATAATGAAATTTACATTAACATGATCTGTACTCATTCGAATGAAAGTAATAAATATATTTTCCTAAAGAGCTTACTTTCAGTCATCTAAGAAGTGTGTAAATGGTTAAATTAAACAGGCTTTGGTTATAAATATTGCCTTGGAACGAAATATTTGTATTTCCCTGCTTTTCCAGAAGGTAATGAGGTGGAATTTCACCTCAAACTGTAAATTTAATCTTTTAAATAATATTTTATTGGTTAGTTAGTGGATGGTGACTAGCAGTGGAATCCAGGATGTGCATTTCACTTGGGACTCGTCATCTGGATGTACCTGCATTCCGCAGGTAGTGATGATGTTCTCAACGAGGTGCATTCAGTGGATGAGTCCCAAATAGGACGAAATGCACATCCTGGATTCCACTGCTAGTCACCATCCACTAACTAACCAATAAAATATTATTTAAAAGATTAAATTTACAGTTTGAGGTGAAATTCCACCTCATTACCTTCTGGAAAAGCAGGGAAATACAAATATTTCGTTCCAAGGCAATATTTATAACCAAAGCCTGTTTAATTTAACCATTTACACACTTCTTAGATGACTGAAAGTAAGCTCTTTAGGAAAATATATTTATTACTTTCATTCGAATGAGTACAGATCATGTTAATGTAAATTTCATTATAATCTTCAAGGCATTAGACATAGAGACAGAAATAGACTCTGTGTAAGTTTATCATATGAATAACTGAATAAAGCATAACTTTAATGGAGAGTAGAATCTAGGCTGGGTGGCAGAATATAATTCCATACACAATTATATGCCTATTAGTACTGCAACACCGTCTATTGTATCAAATAAGGTGACCTAATTTAGAGTTTCGCTTATAATTCCTAAAGCGCGTGACTTCAATGTACGATAGAACAATATTCTTCCTCAGGACTGTATGCAGAAATTATTACGGTCATAAATTGCAGGCGTGGTTGGCGAGCATTCTACTGCTGTGCCACCGACGCACACCATCCAACCTATTGATGTGGAATTCAAGAAGGAAAGAAGGCTAACTGTTGAAGAGGACTAAGTCACGGGATATAATGTCGATGAATATTTACTTGAAGGTTCTGTAAGAACTTACACCCCCAATTCTCTATTGCGTTTTAACAATAATTTCTAGAATAAAGAAGGTGTTATTCTCATTAATCTAATGAGTGATCATAAATGAACGTAAGATGAAAACCAAGGTGGTGGGAATGACAGAGTTTGTTTGCATCATTAGTCTCTGAAGTAATAATTTATGATCAAACAATAATTCACTGACAACCCACAAAATATACTTGTCAACACTTTTGCTTGTAAATAACGTAGGAAATAAAAATTCACTGACTCTAATCAGCGAGAAATGTCAGTCACCAATCATCTCAACTTGTAATAATAATATCTCAGTTAGATAAATACTCTTTGTATTATTTGTGTTGCAATGTTTTCTTTTCGTCTCAGCTGTTAACAGTCTACAATCCTCTGTCATTTAGTAAACATTTTCTACTCTCTATAATAAAGCTATTATCAAAATTAGGTGGTTTTTGAGTCTGAATAGTTCACTGGTGACGTCTCTGACTTCAGCACTCGGGTGAAGGACATGAGTCTCCTCAAGATTGTAGATACGCCTTCATAAGCGAATAACAATAAGTTACTTTATTCCAAAAACAGTACTTATAATACAGAATGGAATTCTCAGCATTTGTCACAGTATTGCATCTGATTTACTTAAAATATAAATAAAATTAAAAATTAAAACAAAATTAACCGGAGGGGTTTGTCCACGTTAACGATATAAAGTCAAAAAATATTCGAAGCACGAATTGAGATTATTAAATATAATAATACTAATAATAACAGTGAGTTTGTTTCAAACAGTATTGGCGATTCAGTTTGGAAATTTTAGCATTTTATAGATTATTGAATCTAATGTTCTGTTGATATACTATGGTTAGGGGAAATACAAAATTAACACTCATAACACAGCTTAAATGATGTTCACACTTGTGAAAAATAAATAAGCAAAAACAAAAAATTGAGAGGATTATAAATATAAGAAATACAAGAAAAAATAAAGTTTGATGTTGTAGGGGTTGAGGAAATGGTTTATTTAGTAGCGCAAAGAAGGTTAGTTAGTTAGTTCATGCCTAACACTATTTTCATCACATAAAGTACGTGTCAAATATGGTATAGTGGAATTTTTATACTTAGACGTACATGAGTATAGTCTTCTGAAAAGACTTCTTGTTTTACCTGAGGAGACACAAGGTTGAAGCTGCGGATAGAGTGGGTTTTCAGAGTCTGAAAAAATTCCTTTAGCAAATTTGTTGCATGACATCAAGTGCCTTTCAGTGACAATGTCAACGATATGGTCCAATGGGGTACCACTCGTCCTACTGACAGTCTTCAGAGTTCTACAAAGTATGACATAGTCTTTTTTAAGCAATCCAGGAAAGAATAAGGGTGAACAGTAAAGAAGAATAGGTAAAATACGCGAGTTGACAAACTGTAAGAAGAGGGGTTGGGTTATGCCTGAGTGCCTCAACTTCTTAATGTAAAAAGTCAGACGAAATATTCTTTTAGAAATCGCTAAGACATGGGAAGACCAGGATAGGTCAGAAGAAAGAATTAATCCAAGATACTTAACTTCAGACCTGATTTCTATATCAGTGTCATCAATTTTGTAACGGTCAAAGGAACCAACAGCTTCATTTAACTTTCCAGTATTTACGAAATCTAGGTTTAAGATTTCCTTCTGATTGGTATCTAGCCACTTGACTGATATAGAATTCAGTTTATATCAGACGAAAGACTAGACACATGACATAAGTTACACCACAGTGTTTTTAGGCTTTACTCAACAGCATTCAAACATATAACAATCATCAACTTCTATTATTAAAAATCACATTAGAAATACAGTCGTACCCTATTACTACACTGACAAAAATGAACTTACTTAATCCTTCAGTATTCAAAAGCAGCAGTGTTAAACATAAAATGCCTCGTAATAAATATAAGTGATACTTCATTGCAGTGAAGAGGACAAACTAAAACTGTTAATATTCAGTATTTCAAGGGTTTATATTCACATTTCTGAGGACATGAAATAGCACAAAAGAACATGACTGCACTTTTTTGTAAAAAAAATAGTTGTTTTTTTTTGTTATTTACAACTTTCACAAATATTTGTTTATGGTAAAATACAACCAAACAACAACTCAAAAAAATAAGCCAGTAATTATTTATAATCGTTGTGATGAATTGTGAAAATAATGTGAAGTAATTCTACCTTCGAAACTCACAGTTTTCAATGTGTGTGTGTGTGTTTGTGCATATGATTGTGCGTAATTTAGAACCATTTTCGTGACCAAATGGATCTGAACAAACAACTGCACACTTACATTGTAAACTTTAAAGTATTTGAGAGAAATACTTTGGTAAAGTTTTCAGATATGTCACCCACTAAAAATGTTTCGATTTAGGTTTATAATTTATTGTTTGTCTGTTTTTTTTCTCTAGATGTCCAAGTTGAATTATACTTCCAGTGTGTGTATTTATTCTCCATCCATTTTCTGTTTTTATTTAGCTGTATATGTTATGTGTAGGGTATTTTTTCAAATTTGACACACACACACACGCAAAGGTTCTTCAGACACATCAAAGCTTGATTAAAAATTTACAAATATTTAATGTAACCCAATAAGTCAGTAGTAGTGAACACATTTTTGTGCATAACATCACGCAGATCATTCTGACAACTTAAGCTTAACTGACTTTATTACACGGCATAAATCTCACTCCTTTGTTTGTACTAGACTGTACTTTTGAAATAATAGACTGTACTTTGTCTAATTTTCTATATACTTAAACTTAGGTTAAAAATACTTTCTTTTTGATCTAAGTTATATCACTACATAATGAGTAGTCGTTAATCCCCGTGGTGAGTTTCTAACTGCTGTCTATAAAAGATGTCAGCTTGTGAACTCTGCACTGAGTAATACAGTTCTCTGGGAAATTTTCAGTAGAGTAAATGCAACTGGTGCGTCGGTGGCACAGCGGTTAGGACACTCGCCGACCCCGCACATGGTCCGAGGTTCGATCACCGGCCGACGCACCCCTTTACCTCGCTAAGCCAGAAATGATACTGGTGAAGAAAAAAGGTCTGGCATGAGGCTAGCAACCCCATTCTGTGAAAATAAACACCACTGCTATAGAAACTTCAAGCCACTAGGTTGAAGCCTTATGTTCCACTGGGGAACGTGAAGGAAAAAAATGCAACTGAATCAGTCATCCCAATTTTAATGTAAATATGAAGGCAAAATTCACAGTGAAATCCTGTGTAATTTCGTTTCTAAGCCTCTCGTAAACCATATCTAGTTGAAAATAATTATCACCTTTTAATCGCCGTCGTAATTATGTGTAATCAAACAGAAATTGTGTCCATGTAAAATTATGTATTTAAATGTGATTGTACAACTTTTGAAAATGAAATCGCCGGAAAGATATCTTTGCTGAACTTCGTGCTCTCTTCTCTCTAATGTCCATATGGGTGTTTTCCACTAGCTGAAATAGAGAATTGTTAAAATATTTTCAACAGTAACAAGTACGGGGTAAAATGTAGATTACTGACTGTGTAAGTTAGTCGGTAGCCGGATTGTATCGGTACCAGTGTACTTAAGGTAACAGGACTTTCAAGTCAGTGATACAGAGGCAACAACAAAAAAAGCGATATGCACAATGTGTTTTCATAAAGATAGTTGTCCATTCCATAAAGGATGAACTTTTAGTCAGAAATAATATTTAAACTATTATTATTACTTCATATAATCCCTTTAGGTTCAGAGTGGAACATAGGACTTTAGCAACACACCTCCTTCTGATCCTTTTTTCTTTTTTGTAGTCCATCATTGTCCATCGTCTCTCATTTTATAATCATAAGATCTCCATGTCACGCTTGAATACTTAGGGGTAAATATAGGACCGAAAACATTCTTTTCATTTCAATCTCCAATAAATTGAGACAAGAAATAATTTAACAAAACAATGAAAAGACGTAAGTTATCTAGACGATCTAATGTTTACGAGCAACACATTTAGAATACTCTGACCAAGCACGTACTTATTGTAGGAATTCACATGCAAATAATAAGTCGAGGGGAAAGAGAATAGATAAAGGTCATAATAACAATAGAGATCCAACCAAACCAAAGAGGGGAAATAATATTGTGACAACAGAAGGCAAGACACGGGAGACAAAGTATATTTTCGATTGATCAAAGCGCTATTTATTTATCCACAGTTTATATTTTTTTAACCAATCACTGAGATTGTGATTTCGGTTTACATCGAACAACATCAAATAAAATGTTCAAATAGATATATCGTATTCACTTGCCAATGCTGTATTGAACTGTCAGAATGCATGAGAATAATGTTCCGTTGGCACACATTGTCTATCCTGATATCCGAAAAAAAACTTGTTAAAGAAGGTTAAATGTGATGATGAATTCTTTTTAAACACATAAAGATGGCTTAAATTTCCTAATCCCTAGGGCTTTCAAAAACTTTGATATATACCAAAAACATGTTTAATAAATAGATTTCAGAGAGAAATAAACATCGCATTTATGCATTATCTATAATTTGTTTCTAAATGAGAGAACTGCGCTATCTGTTTTCATCATTTAATGGGTTACAGGGATTCAGTTTGCTCCTGAAGCCAACTAAGGATGTGCTTTGATGCCGTTACTTTAGATGATCGGTGAGATCTCTTTATGTATGTGTAACGAAACATAGATCTAAACTGATGGATGAATAATCACCACGTTCGCGGTTATCCGGCTCTGAACTCTATAGTCTTTTTGTCTTGAAGTATCTAGCTCTTGTGGTCACTAATATATAGGGCACCTCGAAGTAAATATCCTCCTTAGTGGAGACTCGGAGAAGGGTTCTTGGTGTTTTGACGACCTTATATCTCCTTATGAAATCCCCCGGATAATTATTTTCAACCAGAGATTCTGTCAATATATTCTTTCCTCACCTTCAAGTTTATCTTCTGCGCACATTCATTGGATCCTACCAAAGAGGTAGCTCGTTACTGACTTTTTTCTGGACAAGATATGCTATGGTGCTATGGTGATAAAGGTATTTTTCTGTCCAGATATGTTTTCTATGGATAAATCGTCGTATTTACCAACCAGGATGTGGATCGAGAAGTATACCTAGGTAGTATTAACAGTTGTCTTTCTCTTCAATGGATGTAAATGATACGCTATTTAGCACTTCATTCATTTGATATAGAAATGAAGCGGCAAAACTAGGACTGTCACGTGTTATTAAAATGTCATCAACATATCCTGTGTAAAGTGGTACTTCTTCTACTAACTCTTCCTGTAAACTCTCAGTATACGACATACAGATATCTGCTAAAAGGGGCATTAATGGGCCTTCCATAGCAACACCAATAATCTGACAAACAGTCGCCTTCAGCCTTACATTACTAGTATACGGAACCAATAAATAGTCTAAATAAGACACAGGAAACTGGATTAGGAAATTATGTGTAATCACATGAAAGGTCAATTGCTTTGAGAAAGGGTATATTGACGAATAAAGAGTTCACATCGAATGTAATGCACACTTTTATTTTCAATATTAATACCATTTGGGTAATCAGTCAATTCAAACGTGTCTTTCATTTCATACTTACGGAATTTCCTTTTGACTGTGTCCAATATTTCCACTAACCACTGAGCGAATTTATGTGTTGACTGTCTATATTCTGACATTACAGGACGTGGAAAATGTCTGTGTTTGTTCATTATTCATAAACCATAAATATGTGGAAATTCGCATTCACTTGGTTCGATAGAGTTCAATTCATCTTTGCTTATAACATTTAGGCTAAGAAGTTTCATAGAATCAACCATCACTTTCTTCTAAAATGAATGAAAGTCTTCTAAAAAGAGAACTCGGGTGAATTTACTTTCATCATAAATAACAGATGAGATTTTAAACTTATAATCACCCTTACTCACGACAACAACCTCAGAATCGTTGTCAAATTGCATTATGTTTAAATCATGGTTATCAGATTATGCATAAAGATCGACGGCAGGGTATAAAAAATGACCTTTTGATGCAGTTGTCCTTAAAATCAGATCCTCTTTACGAATGCAAAAACATTTAACTGTTACCCTAGTCCACGTCACTTCGCTTAGTCACACTGAGTCACCAGGTTCGTCTACACCAAGCTGCAGACATTTTTCAGCAGCCGCATTCTCTGCAGTGATAATGAAGATCAGGTGACCAGAACAGGTAAGCACCGCATATAAACTCTGGAAAGCAACCATCCAAGCCAAGAACCTACTACCCAGAAAATATGCAGAAGAAAATAGAGATAGACTGGACATACACTGAATTAACACTTAAGCAAACATCACAAGTAAACCGTCTACTGGGACATGAAGGAGAAAGAACAACTTAGGATTTGGCAGAAAATCACCTAAAAATGAAAGTGAAGTTTATGGGCAGCTGAAAGTGATGATAGAGAACCGAGCAGAATCGATATAGACTGCTGGATAATTATAGTCCACTTGGAACATAGAGAGTATATAATAATAGCTATCAGTAATCTTCGTAAACCAAATCTGATTGTATCAACAAGATTAGTGTCAGTTATTATCCTCCATACTTTGAAATCACTTATTGTTTTACCTTATTTGAGCTTTAATTTTTTTCATTTTCCATATAAATTGAATTGATTAGCAAATGTGTGAAATGTATTCCACAGTTACACCATATTTCTCAGATAAACGCAGTCTTTTAATAACGTTGACCAAATTAAATAAACAATCGAATTTTTCAAGTAATGGTTTTTGTAGGGATTTTGTTTGATTGGTCAAAGGATTTCATCATGAGCTGAGATCAGTTAGAGAGCCATTGGAAAACCTGAGAGCACTGAACAGCTGTTTCGTCCTGGTTTGGGACTCTTCATCAGTACGCAATCAAAGACAGAGTTCGCAACCAGGACCTCCTGGACAAAAGGAGAACCGACCGGTGGCTTAATGGTATACAAACTAGCTAGGTCCTATTTTCGAACCATGTCAGTGGGTGCATACT